TATCTAGTGTTCATATTAAAACAGTTTACATCTAGCATAGGAAGCAGTGAAAATGAAGTGTGTTTATTTCAACAGAATATTTAATCATTCAGTTTTTTAAGATATTCAAGAAAACAAACAAAAAAAGAGCTGTGCTCTATAATCTTGTTCAGTTGCAATAAAAGTTTCTGTATATTAGGGTAAGATTTCAGTGCTGTGAATGTAAAGGTGTCTTTTAGCTACCTGATGCCAAGCAGAGCCATCTTCCAACTGACCTTTGCTCTTGTGTTTCCCCATGTTTTACTGTTTTGGGTTAGACTTACGCAGCATTAAGATAAATGCATTTTTCTGCAGAAATTTTATTGCATTCACTGAGAAAAAGAAATAGCTGATTTTGTTGCAGCTGACTTCAATATGAAGCTAGTGTTTTTATCATCAATTATCACACACATGATTTTAATGGGTAGCAAAGTGTTTCTTGTATCTGTATACAACCAAGTATCTTACTGAGACAGAAAAAGAGACTACTTGCATGGACCATCTCCAGGACAACAGTATTGCATCTTATCCCAGGAATGATGTATCTTGTGGTAAGTGTATCTGTCTTGAAAACTGGAGCTGTCATAGAGTCCTTGTAATCAGAAACAGTTTTGAAAGAGAATTGTGGAAAATAAATTGTTTAGCTTGTCTCATTGTGAGATGCTACTTCTTTAAGGAAAATTGCTTCAGTACCTTGTTTTATAATTCTTTTTTGCTATCATAGGTAGGTGCCAAACTCCAGAATCAACCGTAGCTTGCAGGTAAGAAGGTTAGGAGTAAAGAGTAGAGGTAGGGTAGACTGAAGGATGACAATAGTAAAACAGCTTCTTTAACAACTTCTTAGTTATAAAGTATTGCTGAACAAGTTGTAAAAATTTAGTGTTGTTTATGTGCTTGGGTGAAAATATCTTTTCTATTTCTACTAAGAGCTACTAGTAGTAATTATTTTTATGAGTGGGGATGGTGGGATGGTATTTTTTGCATACTTCACTGTGGAGACTGCAAAGTTAATGGATGTTCATAGGAACTGTAATTACAGACTCTCCTAAATTTGGGACATGTCTTTTGACATTTACTATTTTGATTAATACACATTGCAGCTGTTTACTTCAGTTAAACAAATGGCAGCAAAAAGCAGATGGATTCTGCCTCTGCAGCTTGACGAGGTCATATGTTGCTATTTTCTGAAAATACTACTCCCTCAGTGATCTCTTTTTTATGTAGTAAGTGCAAATTAACTAAGCCTGAATTGGTGTTTTGCAGTCTACCAGGAAAAACCTTTGATACTCTGTGTGTGGAAATTGTTATCTTCTCTTTGGAAAAATAAAATCTTTTATATGAAAAATAATTGAAATAGAATTTGATGAAAACCACTTATTCAGAAAGTTGCAAAATAAATAAAACCACTTATCTTGTTAGCATTTGAGCTTACAAGCTGAAATGTACCTTTAAAATGTTATTTTGCAAAAAGGTGGAGGAATGAAATCTAAGACTCAAAATTGAAAACAGTTAGAAATTTTACATTCCTACTTATATCAGTTACCTTTTCTGAATACATTTTGATGTTTATTTGGTTACAATGTAACTTAAAAATGTATTTCAAAATTACTGTAGAAAACCTGTATGGCATTTTCATAGAAACAAAATCAATGTTTATTACAAGCTCTTAATGAAATAGGCTCTTACTCTGACTTCCAACACATTAGAACCAATTCTCCACTCAGCTGCTGAGAGCAAAGCAGAGCAGCACTTTTGAATTAACTTCATGTGGCACATAATTACCATATTTCATGTTCAGTGTATATAAAGGGTATATTGACTTTCTAGAGACTTCCTAACTCTCCTGACTTCGTTTACTAGTTGCAGCAGATGTCCACTTAATGGCAGAAGAGCACAGACCCTCCAGTTTCTAGATTGCATGCCATGTGGGGTTTGTGTGATTTGCTGTAAGGCTTGCTGGATTGTTGCATTTTTCTTCGAATCCTGTCACAGTTTCTGGAGCAGGGCTATCTGGTGTTCCAGCTCTGACATCTTTTTCTGTGAAGTTCCTGTTGCGTGTAAGGCTGCAGCAGGGATTACCTGAGTGATAAACCTCACCTTCCTCAAAGGTCACTACATATGGAATAGAAGTCAGAAGATTATGGTGTTTCACTATTTTCCTCCAGTATGTAATGTCAGTAGGTTATGGTTACCTCTGCTGCTCATCCTACTCAAAAAGGTAAGATTGAATTTTGTTTTCTTGTGTTTACTGCATGCATTTTCAAGCTTTGAAGTAACTAAAAAAAAAGAAACAACAAAAAACACTTGCAGACATTGCCAGTTTTCACTAAACAGTACTTTTCTGTTCTTGCTTATGATCTGCATTTAGGAATGGCATACATACACCTTTTATTATTTTCAGTGAGTTTTCTTCCAGTGCACCAGCAGAGAGCATTTCTCTGCCCTGTGCTGTCTTTGCTTGCAGTTGTGGAGGACAGGACTGTAACTGAAAATAGCAGTCCAATGTAGGAAGTTATTTAGGACTGTGTATATCCATTTTCACCTAATCTTTAATGTTTCTTCTCTGTTTTTTTAGGTGAACTCATGTGGGACAGAAAAATTAAGCTGCCATAGATAATTTGACTATTTAATATTATATAACCATGCTTGCAACCCTTTTGTGTTTTCCTTTGCTTCTTTTGGGGGCTGAACAACACAAATGGTGTTGAGCAGACATGTTTGTATATCATGAGTAGATAAAAGCGCAGCAGTAGCAGCATCAGCATTCTTGTGCTGTGGAAGTTAAGGAAGAGATGCCTGGGGGTGTTGTGTGACCACACTGTGAGAGTGAAGGAGGGAGTAATTTATATCATTTGTAAAGCTGGTTCCCTAGTCCCTAGAGTTACTACAGTGATATTGCAGTAGGGTCACAAAGCTCAGCTCTGTTCATACAGCTACCTCTGGGCTGATTTCCCCCTTGTATATAGGTGCTGTTTCAGTTCCTGAGCTTTTGTGTAAAACAAGCAGTCATGTTATTTTTGCTCTGCTATTTCATGTCCTAATGTGAAAAACCTTTGTTCCTTTTTAAAAAAAAAATTTTTTTAACTTTTTTCTCTCATTAAAACCACGTGATTAAATCTGGAGAAGTGAAAGCCAAAGTACCTTTGTTTTGCACGAGAGTTGGCCTTAGTGGTGAACCAGGGAGAGGTGTTTGGAATAACTAATGCAAACTGGTTCTGCATAAATGGCAAGCACCCCTCTTTGCAAATACATTGTCTTGTGTGTTGCAACTGTAAATGCAACTTAAAATCAATTTGTCTTTTTTGAGTCTGGCTAGCTTGCTGGTATCGTTAGCTGGAATGAACATTGGAAAGTGTTTTATTTAAAAATGCCTTTAGAAATGTTTTATTCAATGATGCCTTTAGCACTAAATGGCTGGCTGTTATTATCAGGCCTTACGTACCACTTCTGCTTTTTAACTCAGAACTGTTAAAATCGAAGTGTTCTTGTTTTAGGTGGATTTTCAGTGTCAAACAGTGAGCCAGGATTTTAAATTCCATCTAATTCCTCCTTTCTTCATTCACATCAACCCTAAAATTGTGGTTGCTGCAAGGATGCAGTTGCATGCAGGAGACTGGCTGAGCTCATCCCTTGAAAGACTGGTTTAGAAGCTTACTAATTACTTTGAAGCACTGCGGGTTAAATTATATCTTTAGTATTCATTTTAGGATTTGTGATTACTGCCTTTGCTACAAGACGAAACAGGCAATAAGCTTTTAAGTTTTAACTGAACCAGATTTTTTTCAGTTGTTTTAATAAGAGAGTTTAAAAAATACATAAATAAAGTTTCAGGGAGAAAATTCATCATCTCTGGAATGAAGACTTTCCTATTCTCTGTAATGTAGAGTGCTTTTGTGGTTTAAGCCCACTCAGGCACACAGCTCACTCGCCCCCCCCCCCCCCCTTCTCCCTCAGCTCCTGGAGGGATGGAGAGGAGAATCGAAAGAATGTAACTCCCACAGGTTGACATAAGAACAGTCCAGTAACTAAGGTATAACACAGATCACTACTGCTGCCACCAATAATAATAATGATAAGAGAAATAACAAGGGAAGAGAATACAACTGCTCACCACCTGCTGACCGATACCCAGCCCGACAGAGCAGTGAGCCAGCCCTTCCAGGTAACTGCCCCCAGTTTATATAGTGGGCATGACATGCTGTGTTATGGAATACCTCTTTGGCTAGTTTGGGTCAGGTGTCCTGTCTCTGCTTCCTCCTGGCTTCCCCTCCTCCCTGGCAGCGCATGAGATTCACAAGGTCCTTGGTCAGACTAAACATTTGAGCAGTAACTAAAAACATCAGTGCTATCAGTGCTGTTCCCAGGCTGAAAGTCAAAAACACAGAGCTGCACCAGCTACTAAGGAGAAAAATGACTGCTACTGCTAAACCCAGACAAGTGCTTAAAACTTTGATGTGAGTAAGGTCCCAGGTTTGTGTTCAGATTTCATGTTCTCACCTTGGCAGTAGCTATTAAGCTTATCTGCCTCTCTTTATGGCGGTGGGCAGGGCAGGAAAGGGAAACAGTGCTGGTGGCTTCTTGAAGGAGATGGGAGAGAGGGAACAGGGCAAAGCAATTGCTTTCAGGAAAAAATGCACTTTCTCCTTTTCTCCCTCCTGTAGAAGTAGCAGACAGCTAAGCTTAGCAGAACAAAACCTGAACCCCTCTGTTCCTAAGATCATCCCTGTGCAGTTGGCTGGCTTAGTGCCAAGGAGTATGAAATACTTTGGCAGAGTCAATGCTGTATCTTTGGCATACATGTTTGTAAAACTAAGGTTACTGTTCTGATGGTTTCTCCTGGTGCTTTTAGCAGAGAATTAAGTTATTGAGTGATTTTTGCAAATGACAACATGAATATTATAAATACTCATTTACAATATTTACCTGCCTTCCCAGGTATGAAGACAAGTAACTCTACAAAAGGATAAATGGAACTAGTAATTAGCACAGTGTGCAGTCAGGTGGAGGAATTAACTACAGCAGTAAGTCAGCAAGGTACAGAAAGTAGCTGGATCCCTAAAAGGCCTGAATATTTTCCTAGTCATGAAATCACTGATTATACGTTTTAAAGGAAAAGTAATGGTGTTCTAGTTCTCTTGCCATTGGCTAACTAACTTGTGTACTCCTGTGGGGCATCTTCCCTCCACCCATGTGATGTGGATCATGTTTTCATGGCTAACCTTGTGGTTTTTAATCCTGCTTCCATGCACACTCCAGGGAATATAGGATATACTTCTCTCCTTTGATAGTAACTGTGTAGTCTCTGTGTCTGTGTGATGTCTGAGTCAAGCTGCTGCTCAGCTTTCATTTCCAAGTCATTTTCTTTGTAAGTTAAAGCTTTGTTTTTTCAGTTTCTCCCCCCCCCCGCCCCGAGTTCAAGAGCTGTTGGTGTTCAGGCATCATCCTTGCTTAAAGACTCCACAGGCCCTATTCTGCCACTGATTTGCATGTCTGGCAGCCCATTTGTTTTCTAGGATTTTTGTTGTTTATAATTAAAACAGAATTTAGCAGTGCAGCTGCAGCCTGATTGCAGCTCTCTTAATGATCTCAAACAAAAACATAATCCTGCCTCATCTCCTGTAGTTGTGTTGACTCAGTGAGAAGGGGAGGAATCAAAAGAAGTAATAGTGCCTTTCACCTGTTCTGCCTACAAAACCATTGTTTGGAAGGGCAGAGTAGATGGTAGTTCTGAACGATGAAAAGGAGCACAATTCTGAGGACAGAACTATGCTGTGAAGGTGTATAGCTCAGCCAGTTTTTATTGATAATGCTACTTTTGTAATACTACCCTTTTGCTTTTTAAGGTATTTCCACTGGCGGCATCAAATAACTTACTTGGGGCTTGTGTGGAAGTGGTTGTATCTGAAAGAATTTACTTCTAATTTCAGAGCAAACTCCAAATAATGAAAGCTTTGCTTAACGAGACACATTCTACAGTGCAGGTGTTAGGCACTTACATTTGGGCATTTTCTTCATGATGATGATGGGGAGATGTCACCCAGACTGACTGCAGCTGGTAACAAAGCAGGAAGATAATGGCACATGAAAATGTTTTTGAATTTGTATTGGATTGTATTGGAGTGGCCTGGCAACACAGCGCTGAAAGTAAGCAGCACCCGGTAAGCCCTCTGTGTTCTCTAATGGCATCTCTCTGTGCAGTGCTTTTCTTTCACTGTAAAGCTTTGCTTTCTGTCAGACAGTAAAACTTGTGATGCTCAGCTGAAAGGCAGTATTTTGTAAGTAGCCCCTCAAATGTGCATCACCCTGAGGAAGGATATTTGGTTTAGTTTCAGAATTATCTGTGTCCTGATAAGTCTAATCCTTTTGCCATTACTATTGGAATAGAATTTATGGCAAGGCAAACTTGTCTTACCTATCAAGAGAGGAGATTATAAAAGAGTTTATTTCAAAAGAAGCTGAACCACTTTTTTTTATTTAACAACTCGTGAATAGTTCTGCACATTTTTGGAATAATTTCTTCCTGTGCTTACCACAATAACACATTTGGCTTTTGTTAAACTATTTTGCACCTTAGTTGTTTTGTCCTTAAAATTATTATGTGTTTTGGTTTTTGTTAATTCTGCATAAAGAAGCATTTGTAAGCACGTATAGTGAGCATTTCTAAAGACCATTCTTACAAAATAGCTGTTCAGTATGGAACAAAGCATGAACTAAGCTCATGTACATACGAAAGAACTGATAAGTGGAAGATTATTTTATTACCAAATCTGCACTAGTTTCAGGGACTGGCCTGTAGGTCTTACAACAGAATTTGAGTATCGTTGGCTTGTTTTAAACTAGTCACTTTGCAGACCTCACCATTTTCCTGGGGTGGTCATGTGGGCCACTAGTGGAAGAAGGACAAAGATTCATAGGGTTCTGGGTAAATGCAGAAACTGCATTCCTCTGGGCTCTTGTGCAGGGCCATGCTCTGCAGTAATTCAGGACAGGTGTGGAAATTTAAGTCTGAGGTACATTCTTACAGGTAAAAAGCTTGGGCACGGTGGGAAAAGTACACTGCAGAATATCAGTGAATTGAATTTTGCACATGTAGGAGTTAATACACGGTTTGTGTATGTGCAAATGCTACCAAATGCTGTGATTGTTGTAATCTCCTGTTAATAAAGGGATTGACTTGCAGTTCAAAATGACTTGCATAATTCTGCATGCTATAGTGTTAATCCTTCCAAGGGGTTTAAAGCCTTCAGTGTTTTCTAGCCCTCAGTGCTTCCTTACTTGACTGCAGTACCTGCAGTACTTGTTTTTATGAAGTGTGAATTGTGGTACTCAAACACGAATAATGAATTATGTTGTCCTGTACTGATGGGCCTGTAGATGACATGCATCAGGGAAATGTGAGGCTCAGCCTCAGCTAAACCTCTAGCCAAATACATCCAAATGGTAACTTTGTGTTTTTGAGGTCTGACAAAATCATGCAAAATTTTTGTGAGTATATTAGTTTTGCAACTACTCTCTTGGGCCCACATACATATATTGTAACGGAAAATTGAATGCCCATGTGCTACCTGTGTCAAAGTTGTCTCTCTCCTAGCACAGACCAGGGCAGTGTCTCCACCAGGCTGTGCCAAGGTTCCCGGCATAGGCATGCTGGAATAACCTCAGACCACTGCTTGGTGTTTTGCTTTATCATGTTTTACCTCAGCACTAAATCCAGTATTACAGTTTTTATTCATCTCTAGGTTTGCATGTGTGCACAAATACTCTAAGCTTTCTTCTTTCATTTTTTTGGCAACATCCAAGTTTTGCTCCTGTGAGTGTGTGCCTGTCGTATACCATCGTTTGATATCTGAGCCTGTCAAGAAATGTAAATTCAAGTTTGTATTTCTGTTTGTTTGCAGAGAAGCTGCTGTGCCTCTGATTCCTGGCAGAAGGGTTTCAGCGAGCCAGTCCACAGAGGAACGGTGATGCTGTGCAGAGCAGAGTGGGTCTGGCTGTAGTAGCAAATTTGGGTTGGAGAGAGAGGCACAGAGAAAGAAGATAGATAAAAGAATTATCTAATCTGGGAAGGTCTTAGTTCCTCAGGCAGCATAGCAAGCCACACACCCTACGAGCTTACAGGACTGCTTTAAGGGGCAGGAGGACTGCTTGCACTACAGATCTTCTAAGAGGCAAGTGGTGTTTCAGCATCCTTTGTGGGTACTCCTGGCCCCTTTCCACAGGAGAGATTCCAAAGAGGACTCTCGCTTGCTGCTCACGGTGTTCCCTGCCTTCCTGTGGGGTCCAGTGGAACACCTTAAGAGTTTGAAAAGCTTAAAAATCTTAGCTAAAAGCTTTCCTCTTCACCTTGAGTTGTGCTACATCTGAAGTGAACCCACTGAAAGACAAGAGGAAGTAATCCAGCTGACTAGATGCCTCCCCCTTTCCTGTTAGGTGAAAAATGATTTTTCAGAAAATCTTGTACTGGATATACATCCATCCTATGCATTTTTGCATTTTAGTTAGCCTAATTTTTAATCAAAAGCTATGTTGGCGGAATTTTTTTCAATGATGCAATGGAAGTAGCAGAGATGAAATATCAGACATGCTGTTCGTCCTGTTACCTTTAAGCAAGGGTCTGTACCTGTGGTGTGTCCCATCGGTATTACCCGAATAGCATGAATCCTGCTGTGTGCATCTTTCTAATTGCTAAGCTGACATTTCAAAGCAGGAGAAAAGTGAGCTTTTGTCCTTCAGAGGTAAGCCTGTGAATCCTGGGTCTAGACAAATTGGAAAGAATGTAGCTGTGGGGACACATGGGCTGCTTTAAAATGAATGGATTTATTACACAATTTGCTAGTGTGGGGACATTTGCCTTTATCTAATACCACTGTGTATATGTATGTATATATTTTTAGTGGAAAAATGTTTATCTCTGTGTGCTGTTTAGGATTTCTCAGTCAAACAGAAGTACTTAAGATTAAGTAAGTCCTTAATATTTAATAAGCTTCTATTGTTAGAGAGCAAGTGAGCCTGCCAGTGTGAGATTGGCTGGCAGCTGAGTGGATTAATGAAAACATAGAGCTGGACTTAAAAGCCCAGAATGACAATCTTTAAATATGCTAGGCATTGTGGTTGTGCAATTTCCCTGGGGAATCATACTGTCTGCTTCAAAAATTGCACTGAAGACATAACTGAAACTATAGTGCATTCTTGCCTACTGCAAATCTACTTTCATTCCTGGGGCTAAAATTCCTTGTGTGTACATCTGTACACTCATTCCTGGTGGGTTTTCATTTCTTATTATATTGTAGCCACAGGAACAATTTTACACAGACCTGAAAAACAAGAGTTGCAGAGCTGAGCAACTTTCCTGCCTGAACAGAGATCTTGCTTAGGCTTTCAAGCAAGCAAATGTGTCGATTTGAAAATACTGAAGTGAAAATTGAGGCTTCTGATGTGCGCTCTCCACAAGGCAGACAGAGGAAATTTGAAAAAGACTGGCTTTTTTGAGACTCCTTTCTGAAATTCTGTGGTGCTTCTGGTTCAGGATGATAGAGATCTGAGTAGTCCTAGTGCAATGATAGTGTAGACATCATGTGATACATTCTGGGGTGTCTTCAGGCAAATGGAAAGGCTTGAAAATGTTTTCATTATTGGAGATTGCTTTTTTTATTTATATAAGAACTTAGAAGTATGAAAGGTGTCTGGACTTCGAGTTGTTTTACTCGAATGTGTGTACACATTTCTGGGGATTATCTCAATTTCAGTTTAATTTGCCACTTTATACTAGGAAGCTCCCAGGGAATCTTTAATTTTCAGTGAAAACCCACTAAATTAAAATGAAAATGAAATAAGCTTTCATTGTCAGCACTGAGAATGGCAGTGTTTTCATGAATTTCTGTTTATATTTCATCAGAGCTGCTTGTGCAAATAAGGCACCAGTTGTTGGGTACTAGATTTGGTAGTGTAGCTGAACACCTTTATGTTCTGTGTAATTGCATTGATGTTCTGCACCTCAGTGAAAAACTGATGAAGTTTTTCACTTGCAGGAGGTGCTCCATATGACCAGTGACGCATTAGCTGCAACATGCCGAGTTCTCTCAAATGTCACAGAATTTTCAGTAACTTTTAAATTACACATAAATTCACCCCCACTGCTCTCTGTCTCCTGTGAGGGTGAAAGTACGGAAGGTTGGAGGATGTAAGAGAAATCGTTTGTGTACCGCTTGTAACTGTTTTCTGAGTATTCCAGTGTCCTTCAGTATCTCTGTGAACCTGCAGCACTTAGAAGGGGAGTAGATGGGATTGCAGTCTGGAGAGGGCAGGATGAAAGCAGGGTCAAGGAAAAAGAGGTAAACAGATTGCACTGAACATGTATATGCCTATCTTTAATCTTGTATACACTAGATGGGGTTGGTGATATCCCCTCACCCCCTTCTCCTGGTGACAGTATCCGCTGCAGTTTCTCTGGTAGGAAGTTACCTGTATGGCTGCTGAGGGTAGTAAGATGAAGACTATTTTGAAGGGCTGGACTGACTGCCCTGGCTGTGGGCGTCACAGCTTTTATCATACAGATCTGAATCACAGCATGCTACAGGGAAGGGCTGCTGTAGTGCTAGAAGTGAGGGAACCACCATCTACACAGGACTCACTCCCCACCCCTCTCCCATGCTATTAAAACACAGGGACAGTTTATAGAGAAAATTTATGCACACTGAAGCCTTGATTCATTTCAGGGAGTGTCTTCCTAAAAGAACACTGTGTCTGTTGTGAATGAGCTGACACATATTTCATGGTATGCTACTGCTGTATTTTTGTACTTTACAGTGGGGAAAAAGTCTGCTCAGGTGCTGTTTGCCCAGGTCTCTTGTCCATTTCCAGCATTCTCCCATATTTTTCATCTATGTTTTTTTATACCTGTCTTTTTTAGTTTTGCTTTTCTTAACCACTTTCCTACTGCAGAATTCTGGATAAACTGGAGTCCTTTGTCATCCATAGAAAGATTGCTTGCATTGGAATATACTAGTTCTGAGAAGAACATACGTACATAGATTTTTGAATGTACGTCAATTCTTGATTCCATCAGGAACAAGAGAGTGTGATTTTCAGCAAGCTTTTAATTGTGCCAGTTTCTCAAGTGATAATTCTTCTTTTAAACCTGTGAACACTTATTTCAAAGGACCTTTTGAAAATGAAGACTGTACTGTGTCAGGGCAACCAGCTGTGGTGCAGAGCTGGATACAAGAAGGTGTTTAATAGGGAAGAACTTTCATGCACGGACTTCACAGGAAGGAGATTTAAAACTTCAATTTTTATTAGCACCACATATAAAGCAAGTTCCATGACAACAAGCTGTACTTCCAAGCTGGTGAGTTATTTTGTTTAGGGGAAGTGAGTTGGTAATTATATGACACATCAATTCATTCCATGTATTCTCTTGTGTTAGCATTTGCAAATCCATAATTCCTTCAGTTGTGCACAGGTCTGAGTTCACAATTTCTGTTCTTCCCTCTAAAGTAGGAGTATTTCCAACCATGAGCTTTTGAGACATCTCTGTTGTTAAGAACAAGTAGCATTGCTTAGCTGCTGACCAGGGGGAATAGTCAAAGCACCTCTGGCTTCTAGGGGAAATATTCCTGTTTCTCTTTCCAACATATCTGTGTGTCAGGTTCCTGCAGCTGAGCTTGCAGCGTGAAGAATTTTCTCAAGTACCTGCGTTTGTAGCTCCATGCAGCCTCATACCAAGGTGACTTTCAAATGAAATTAATACAGGTGCAAAGAGAGTGGCTGTTGGTGGGGAGGGATGAGGGCTGTGTGGTGCTCTGAGGATCAGAAAGAAGCTTTTAGTGACTGTGACTTTCATAAGCGATCTGGTAAAGGCTCACAGAGTGAGAGGAGGGGTTCTAAGAAAGCACTAGAAGCAGCATCCTGGTGAAGTGCTCTTTTCCTGGAGTACTTGCAAATACTTCATCATAATTGAGTCTGTAAACAGCTGTAACTCCCTTGGGGGGGAGGGTCTAATTCCTTGAGAAATAAGAGCCTGAGAATGAGAAAACTAAGAACTGACAACCCTTCCTGCCCTCCCCCCTAAGCTGTTTTTTGGGGTGTGTTTTTTTTTGTTTGTGTTTTTTTTTTGTGGATGTTTTCTCAGTCAGGCTGTCACAGGACAAAATTTCTAGGCTGAGGCATTTTTAGCTCAATATTCTATGTGCTTATTATCCAAGCTGAGATATCAGAATCAGTTAATTGCATCTGCGGATGACGCAATAACACTGAACAAGTTTCAAAGGTAAATTGGGTTAAAGGAAAAAAAAAATCATCCCTGCAGCATTAGTTGCTGGAGAATGCTGAACTAGTGACAGTCCTGCTTGAGAGCAGAGCTCATCTAGCCATCCGCAGGCTTGCCTCTGGGGACTGCAAAAACAGTTCAGATTTAGGTACTAGTTAGGTCCATAACTAGGCTGACATGAATTACTTGGTTGTATCACTTATCTCTGCTATGTAGGGACAGTAGTCTCCTTAACTCAGAATCAAACTTGAACTTTATAAAGACATGTGACGTATCTATCTTTGGGCACTTGAAGTTAGAAAATACAAATAACATAATCCCCTCCGCATTTGGCAGAAGGGTCCTTGATTAACCACATACCCTTGAATGCAGAACAGCAGATTTAAATGGTACAGTAGAGGTGGAAGGGATGGAGCAGCAATGAGCTTAAGCTTCATATCCATGGAAAGGAATTTATGGAGAAGGGAAATGATGAGGTGCATCTGAATAGACTTTCACAAACCAGTTCCTGAAATACCTTTATTTCTATAGTAAGTCTTAGTATCTTCAGGATGAATGCCTCACACCTGAAACTCATCACTGTGTTCATATGGAAAATAAACACATAAACAATACCCATTAACGGGTTGGGTTTTGTTTTTTGATGCTGTACTTCGTTTTATATAGATTTATATAGTTATATTTTATTTTGTTTGAATCATATTCTGTAACAGCAGTGCCAGGGGAGTGTTAGGGGAGGCTTATAGTGGGTAAGGACCCCATCCTTTTAAGTTATTCCCAGAAGTACAGGGAAGTCTCTGTGAAACAACTCTGTAGCAACAAAACGTTCTGCCTAAACAATTTCTTCATAGAAGATACTAGGGAGTTGTTTGAGAAACCAGCTTAACCCCTCAGCCATTTCTTCATTAAAAATCCATGCACTACAAGATGACTTCCAGGCCCTCTGTGTAGCTGTCTGACATGCACTGGTGGAGATTTGGTAGTGAATGCTTTCTGTCTGGCCGATGGAGGGAAGAGTGTAAACTAACCTGTTCTTCCAGGTCAACAAACCCCATTACTCCTAGTGAACAGAGTAACATACAGTATTTCTACGGGGAAATGTTTTTACTGGGAGGAGGGAAAGGGAAGCAAGGCCTAGGGTAAAATGACCTACATAGGCAGCTGATGGAATTTCAGAAAAACAGCCTTTTCAAATTGCACTCACTGGGTGAGTTAATCATGATAGAGTCATTATTTGTGATTTTTAACACACGGGAAGGTAAGAAACACAGGGTTCTGCATTTTGCGCTCTGATGCATTAAGACAGAAATTTGGGTGAGGTTTCTTAGGTTACCCTTGAGTCTTTTTAAAAATTATCGTCATGCAGACAGAAAGTGCTTTGTATTACTCAGCCAGTATAATCAGCTAAGCCTGATATACCCAGGTTGTGTTAAGTACGTCTGAGGAAAAATAGCAGGATGTCAGATGAAATACTAGCCTAGTTGTTAATTAAAATAGAAACACCTCTGTCTGTGCCAACATGTAGACCAAAAAGCAAAGACAACTGAACTAGGATAGATGCTGGGGGAAGGTACGCTGGGCTCGGGGCTTGGAAACAATGGGATCTTTAAAATCAATAGCATACTCTACTGCCCAGGCTTAAGCTTTAGTAGAAAGACAAAATTAGGCTGTAAAGGTAATACAGCTGCTCTATGCCGGTATATTTCTGCAAGAATCATTAAGCTAGCATTCCTGAAGTATAAGAACCAATGGTGAATACATCAAATTGAAAAGCAACATGTTAAAATCCATATTAGAAATGCTTCATGATGAAATTGTAAAGTCCACTGCTACAGTGTAAGACTGAAATGGAAAGGTTCACAGAATCAGAAAGGGATTAAAGATAGATAGGGTTAATGAGAGCATCTAATGGTACACAATGGGATGAAGAAAAATCAAGTAATATAAATGTGCCTAGTGAATTGAGGGAGGTGTAAGAAACTTCCACCAAAGGTTGGGGTTATCCTTTATTAGGTTTCCTGCAACAACCTCTAAAATTTCTGGGTCTTCACTTTCAGGCTGCTTCTACCCTCACACTTTCAGTAATATGCCTGTGGTGGTGGTCAGAATGTGCCCAGTTTACAGGCAAATTCACTTGCAAAGCTGTTTGACCAGGAGGGAGCAATAAATTGTATTGAAAAAGGTAGCATTAGACATGACATCACACAAGACACCTGACAAATCAGACCTGATCTGACATAGTAGGAACCTAGCGGTTCCATTTGAACGCAGTCTGGTGTTAATTTTCTCAGCTGTTTCTATGCATTTTCTGATTCTAAGCAGCTACCTCAGGAAGAGAGAAGTCTGAAGTTCAGAGCTTAAACCACGACACAAAATTAGTGTCAAGTTTTAAACTGAAGATTATTAGTTTCACTGTAAACCTGATCTCCCAGTATTTTCTAAACTGTTACCAACTACCACATCATTTCGGGTTTCCCTAAAGAGGAAACAGAAAGGAGTGTAAATTTACCTGGGAATGGGTAAGCCACTTAAATACTTATTTTTTGTTATTATTATTTAAGGATGGGTTGGCCAAATCAAAGGGAGGTAATGAGAAATTAGAAAAAAGCAATATGCTGTGTTTATTTTTGTTTAATTGTGTTCACTGTGTGTGTGTGCACTTGCACACACATCTTTGGGTATGTATATACTCACTGTATAGCTTGTAGTATAGTTGATTATAAAGAATACAAAAGACGTTCTGTTGTAAACTTTAAATAATATTTAATAACTTTTAAAAAATAAAATGTATATTTTAAATGTTGTTCTTAATATGAATGCACAAAACTGTATCATTGTAGTTGCAGCGACAAAATTCAAAGAACTGAGGAGCCCTGCCCGCTGTGGTGACAATCTAGGAGAATTCACAACAGAATCCAAACAAAATTTCCCATGGCAAGTCCTGACTTGTTTCCTTCTGTGAATTGTCTAACTCAGTATGTATGACATTCATGTTTCGCAAGAATCCTTGCAGACAAAGTTAATAAAGTTAATAAATGCCACAATCAACTGCTGGTTTCTGTTGCTTACCTTTGGTGCCACATTTATAGCACAAGAATGAAGCTAAGGGGAAATTGAAAGGCTTCAACTTTCTCCATGCCAACCACCTCCTTCCCTATCTATGAATGGGAAGTTGCAGCCAGGAGCCACATATACCAAAAGATGTAAAAGATGTGACAGATTCATAGGTATTGTGAGAAGTGAGGGCTTTGCATGGATTCACGTAGCAGTCGTACTGCTGGTGCAAGATAAACATTTTTTTGCAGCTTCTGTGCAGTTTCTTCCACTCTGAATTATAAATCATACAATGCTGCATTTAAATGGTAATTATTAAATGGTAGAATAAAACTTCATAAGTTTAGATTATTTGAGGGAGAGGAACAAAGAAGTATTCATAGAACAGAAAATGGAGTGAATTTCAGTGATTGTGCACTGTAAGATCTGGAGCTAAATAATTCATTTGTACAAGCGATAAGATTTGGCTGCTACCAACAGTTACCATAAAGGAAATTAAAGCATATTCTACTAAATGTATATATGTATATGTATTACCATAATTGTGAAGGCAATAAGCCAAAAATATATTGGACTGAATCTAAAAGCTAAATTCTGATGTTGCTCAATTCAGTAGGTCCAGCCATGCACACTGTGTCTTCACATCTTGTTATTAAGCAGAAAGAGCAAGGAGTATTACTTAGGAGTGCTCTCCTTCAATGCCTTTGTTGCCTTTGGTTCTTTCATTTAAATGTACTGAGTCCTCCTTCATGTTTAAAGATAAGAAGTGAAAATAACATAAAACACTTTACTAAAAGTGACAAGACACTAATGGAAGCAATTGGAATGACTTGGTGTTGCTGTGCATTACATACAGTATAAGCAGCCTTTTGAATGGGTATTATGTATTACAGGGTATTTAGTTATAATGAACCAGTTCAACATGAAGTTTTATGCATAATATGGAACTATCTTGTTTGGTTTTAAAAAAAAGATTGTTGCTGTTACATATTCCAAAATGTTCTGACCTCGTCAGCAAAGCAAAGCTACAATGCTTTTAAAAATCAAAATATGGTAAATCTGAAGCTTGTTATGTGCAGTATGTTCCCAGGTTTGAAGTTGGATTGTGCTGTAAGCACCATAACATTTGTTTGGCCTGGGTGAAGAGAGATAATAACATCAAATATAGAAAATAGGCCAGTTCAAATTATAAACAATTTGCAGTAGCATCTCAGTTGGCAGTGTCAGTTGGTAGTGTTTAAAAAATGAATTGTTAGCAGCAATGTGTGATCTGGGTTTTTTTTCTTTCTTTTCAACAGTTAGTGCCATGTTTCTGCTGCAGTGACTGCAATTTACAAAGTGAGTGTTGCTTTTACTGCCTATAGATACGTGTTTTTGAAAACCAAGGTAGTATATTTTATAAAGACGCCTGAACTGTGGAAAATTATTAGAGGGAACCACAAAGAGTGACTTGTCTTCAGTCTCTGGTTCTCGTTTCTTCCGTAGGTTTACCTGAAGCCTGCCAGTCTAAGGCCTCAGCACAAATTACTGGGAGACTCACAGGATGAGGCGTTATGATCTCTCTCTTCCCTACACCACCATCAGGCAAATTGACAAGAGTTACCCTCTGTGGCAGCTCTGCTGCACAATGGTTTGCTCTTCTCAACTGAGCCATCATCAGCCTCCTGTCTCTTAATTTTTAATGGCAGGGATCACTACAAATAGACTTTTCTACCTTTTATCTTTCTTAAAAACCAATGTTTTATTAACACATTTATCACTCTGTTGTGCTGTTTTTCAGTGGGGAAAACTGAGCTGCCAGCAGGAGCACCTGTGTGTATCAGCTTTAAACTATGGCAAGAACTAATGATGCATCTAACCTGGAATCGTGTCCATGCAGGTAAGAAAGGAACAGAGTGGGAGAGAGGGAAGGATCGAACTTACAGCATCTTTCAAAGAGCAGGCCTGTTCACAGGTCAGCCTGGGCTCAGAAAGCAGAGAGCATAGACTGTGGTGGCTGTAATGCCAAGAGTAGGTCTCCTGTGTTGGCGTACAGGGTGCCTGTGTGTGGCCTACTCAGTTTAACCTTTGTCTTGGATTGAGGTGCATTAATATTTCTCAAGGCTTATGAACATGTCAGTAAAATCCTTTAGTGGTGGTGAGGTAGCTGTGATAGTGAGTGATTGTTAAGCCACATAAAACACACACAAGTAATGCATTACTTTCAGGTCAGCCTGCACAGCTAAATGCCTGATGCTACAGATAGGCACCATGCATAAAGGTGGAGGGTAATGATCTTGGAAGATACTTGCTGTTTCACACACCAGACTCTCCAAAGCACTTTCCCACAAAACATTGAGTATTTCATGCCTGAGGGTGAAAACACTGCAGGAAATCAGCAAAGAGGAAAAAAATATCCCAAAACCTAAGCAGTGAGAGTAGTATTTGTCAATGTTGCAGGTCCAGGAAAGATTTAGTTACAGGTGTCATGGAGAATAGTCTGGGCCTTTGCAAGTTCAGCTTACTGCTGGAAATTGCCTTTAAATCAAAGGAAGCAAAATGGCACTCACCGCTGAGACCTGCAGTTGTAAGCACTAAAGGTACAGGGTAACTTTGTTTTTCCTAAATTTGATGGATGCTTCTAGTCTGTCACAGTAGGAATGGCTGTACTGAGCTTCCTGGGAAGACAGGGCACCATGATTGTCTCTCTGGTCTGTTGTCAATGGCCAAATGGTCCTTGGAGGCTGGCTGCAAGGAGTGGGCCAGTTGCATTCCTCTGTTTGCCTGTTCCCTGCTGTGTTCCTTCCCTGAGTGCTTAGCATCTCCCTGTGTATTATCTGGGGTTGCTTGCTGATGGGGAGTTATGTGTTTGAACAACAGGAAACATCTGATTCTTAACCTCATCACTACAAGGTGTGCACATAAGGGTACTACATAAATTACTTCAGTTACCAATGGGTGGGGAAATTGGACAATTGGTGGCTGTTTCCTGGCTAAGGAAAGTTATGATTTCAATTTCTGCAAGTTCCAGAAAGTGTGGGGTAAATTCTAGCCAACAGTCAGGCAGAGGGAGATGGGTCTGAAAAACAGAACTGAGAGGTGACCCCAGTTCCAACAGAGACTGATGTGTCTTGGCTGTTGCAAGCATGCAGCTGAGGGGGAAAAAAAGTCCTCAGCATAAAAACATCTGAAGTTTTAATAACTCTCAAAAATGAGCAATGTGCAAAAAGATTTTTCTTCAGCAAGGCAAACTCTGTCATACCTGCAGATGATGATATCCCAAAATAAATTAATGAAATGGTGACGTTCAGGGAAGGAACAGCTGACAGCTTTGTATGGATCTTCAAGTGTGGAAATGAGTGATATTTTCTGTCAGACTAACTTGCAACAGGGATGATAAAAAATAAAACCATAGTAGAATGACAGAGCCCACTCACAAGTTGTTTACTGAAATGAAGATACAGCTGAAAGTAATTACTTGTTTCCCAGAGGTATAAGTGATAGTGCCTCCTACAAGAAATAATAGTCAGTTATTTCAGTTGGAATGTAAAATGGGATAGAAAGGTTTCCTCTTTCTGAGGTTAGATGCTGGGTATTTTTACCTCCTTTCAGAACATATATATATGAATGTAATATATATTACATATACAGTCAACCATCTATATGCCACTGGCGATTAATAAGTGAGATAATGTCCAATATTGTTTTCCCTTAACAGCCAGATCTCACTGTACAGATTCTGATTAAAAGCCCAACTTTGCAGCACAAAAGATTAAAAATACTCCTTTAAAATAACATATTTCTGAAGATGATCCTCTCCTGGCTACAAAATCATCTTGAGAAACTTGGAGGCAGGGCTGCTTGATCTTGACGTTTTAGCTGTATGCAATCTGTAGTAAAATTACAATTGCATTCTGTGCTAGCTACTTGTACCTTCTTGCTGAAGAACACTCATTTTCTATGCCCTTTCTTCCAGACCATGGGATGTGGGAAAACAACCTGGAAGGTTTCACAGAGGTTGCCTTACTGAAATCTTCCTACCATGGGTTTGCAGATCAGCCCCTCATAAGAAGCCTCCTTTGCCTTGCCACAGGCCATGGAAAAGAAACCATTGCTCCTGGGAGTTTTCTTCTGTTTAAAGACAAGGCTCCTTCTTACCTGCACCAGTTCAAGTACTGACTTTTTCTTTTCTTCCTCCTTCAGTAAAGTGGGATGATTCACAAAATCTTCAGAAAGATAGCATTATACACAGTTTATAGTACAAAGAGGGGGGGGGGGGAAAAGGTCAGATAGATGAGCATGAAGGAGATTTCTCCTGTGTCCTTTGGAGGAGGAGCAGAAAGGGTGGAAACGGCATCTATGCACAGTAGGTGTCTGCCTTGACCACCTGACAATACATGGTCATTGCAAAGGTGAGTCCAAGAATCTAAGAGAAAAAAAAAACCACATTTGTTTTTCAGTAAGCAAAAACCCCACCACTATTTATTGAAATGGAAAAAAAAGGGAGAGGCAAATGTGCCTACACTGGCTTTGTTCACACACAGGCAGACACATCACATACTGCTTTTCCTACCAGTTCATGTCCTTTGTTCTATTCCTAGTTTCTGTCTGCCTTTTGTCCTTACCTGTATTGCTGGTTTACGGAATGAACAATGAAAGCATGGGAGAGCTGTTTTCTCCATGAACACCAGCCTCCAGTTACTGGGAAGAGAGGTATATTGCAAAGAACTGTTTGGATGACTTTCCCTCAAAATTATTTTATAATAGCAACCCACAGCTGTGGGGCTGTGTGGTTATCTCTGTAGCTATTGCTTTGAAAGACAATGAGATTCATTCCTGACCCAAAGGATGCTGTGGTTTACTGTACTTTTCCAAGTGTATGTGTGCATAGGTCTCTATGGGGAAATCACTGGAGACTGTCCAGTGATAACCATAACCATCAATGCCTCATCAACAATGTATGTGTCTTTTTCTATTAAGCCTATTCAAGAGAAGCAGCAGGGAGGTAGTAGTTCTTCTCCGAGCCCAAATGCTGACCCGCTGTGCCACCTCTGGTAGATTACTTCATCAGAAAGGGATGTGGAATAGTGTCATATATTCCTTTCAGTTGAAGCATTTATGTGAATGTACTAAGTAGTTTTTACTATTCTTTTGCAACCCCACTACAAAAAATTGTCATTGAAATAAAGGTTTGCCAGGGGATGTTTTTTCTATGAATTGTATTTTAAGCATTTAATTTGACCACTTCAGATTTAGTCTTTGTATAAATTGTAGTACCTCTTAATGAGTATTTTGAAAGAGTACATGAATAACACACATACTACTTTATAAATAAAAAAACGGTAATAAAGCTGTTACCTTCACTTCCCTTTCTTCCACAGTGAAATGAGACTGCTGGGCTTTAGAGTGCTGTTTTATAGTAACCACATGCCTTTTGAGGATATTCCCTGAGTATTGCCTTCTACTTCCTAGCAAAGGAACACCTTTAATGACAGATGCGTAATAAAACCTTGGTGGCTGAATTTGTTTTACGGGTTCAAGCATGCATGACTAAAGAAGATTCTTCTGTCATGTGTGCTGTATGTCCTCCAAGTTGTCACTGGGTATAATTCTAACTGTTAACATGAAAAACCAAAGCTGTCACATGCTTGGGGCCAGAACATCAGTGTAACATCAACAACAGAGGGAGCCCAATTCATTTTAGATGACAGTGCATCAAAACTTTTGTCATCAGTTAGATTTGATCACATAGTTAAAAGGCTAAAAATCTATAGTGTTCTAAGGTGTTTTCTCTGTACTTCCCAGCATTTACTAGGAATATTAATTAGCATTTTAAAATTATTTGAAGTGTTTTCTCCTGTGCAAACTAGTGATGGCTTTCTGTCAAAATTCTGTATTCTCTTAAATTAACCTAAATATAATCAAAGTCAATGAGAAGGCTGACATAGGCTGCTGGGCCTTTAATATATCTTTTAAAGACTCCCTAAATGCTGGATAGCTGCTCAACAGCTGTTTCTTAAAGTATGGTAATATATTAACAACAGTCTTACATTGTCTCTCTGCCACATGATCTTGTTGTGCTTATCTGTTTTTGTAAGCATACCTGCTTACTATACTGGAAAACAAAACTCAAAACTACTGAATTTGAGCCTATGAGGAGTCAGGTGTTTGCATTAATAAGTTGTAGCCAATATATGACACATGAAAGAGTTAAGATATATGCCATTTTGCCTCATCTGACATTATTGGGAACAAGTGGCATTTTGATCCCAGGCTCTCCCTTGTTGCTGCTAGTGATATACCACACAAAATTACACACGCACAAAACCCCCATGTTCACCTGGAATTACAGGATATTAATTAGCTTAGCAATGCCATCCTTCCTTTCTGCTTATGCATTGAGTGTGAGGGAGGCGGAGCTAGAAACTAAAGCCCCGTCTTCACTGCATTCAGGAATGGGACCTTGGGCACATAAATCCAAGGCTGATGTACAGCTTGAGCTCCGGCGCAGCTTTCACCTGTGTACCCTCAGGCTAAGGTTTGTGCCACTGGGGCTGCACAATGTCCGCAACCATGGCAAGCTGGTATGAAGACACAGGTATGTAAGAGTACGAGACAAGGTACTACACTGACTCATAACTGATTCTTCTCTGATCAAAGTTATGCTGGAAATAACTGCAGGTCAAAAATCTGATGGGCAAGGCTATGCCCATCTTACCTACCCCATTTCCCTGCAATTAATAGAAAAGGAAGCTGTTTCTATTGGCAAGATTGAGTAATAGTACCAGCATTGCAGCTTGTAACTCACCCGAAGACTGAGAATGGGGTTGAAGACTTAAGTCTATTTTCAGGCTCTCTTAAAGGTAGATATTTAGCCTAAGTGGATGGTCCCCTCTGGAGAATTACTGGACAAATACAGGTACCCTAAAAGGCAATTCACCCTACTCTGACTACACTTCTGTCTTTGGAAGGCAGGGACTATCTCTCCACTGAATCTAGCCTAAGCCTTAGATAAACCACTTGGTAAAGTGTCTGCTTTTTGTAAGTTTCTCATAAAGCAGAAAATGTGTGCAGTATTCCTACTTCTGTACTTTGCACACAGTATTTTAACTAAATTAAAACATAAAAGACCTAAATCTTGCAGAGTTTTACAGTAGTATTATGCAAAATTTGGAATTACTAAATCAGGCTTGGGCAGAGTATACCTGAATCTTTAGTTACAGTTAACTAGGATTTGAAATCTGACTGATATTAAACTGTACCTGCACCATAGCTGTGCACAATCCAAAGATACCCACTGCTAGTAAGTTTTCCTGGAGCCATATTTTCACTGTTTCGTAGCATGGCTGGAAAAAAACAAAACACAAAAGAATATTGTATTAGCCATAAATGCACAGTTCTGCTCTCCTGGGAATACAGCCAGGAAAGAGCCAGATCAGACTAAGCTGCTAGGTAGGTCTGGGTTATCATTTTGGTGCTGGAGCAACTACCATGTATTTCTGGGCTGAGGTTTGGATATGGAGTACTCATTCTAATGACATAAAAAAGTGCACCTCTAAAATGCCGCATGAGCACTGCTCTGTATAAATTAGGCCAGTAATTAAAAAAAACAAACACCCAACCAAGCAGTGGATTTGAGCCCACTTTGCCCTCTAAAAACCAACCAGAAGCAGTAGAACTTCAGAATGAGCCTTTCAGTTTCTCCATGTTTCAGAAAAACAGAATTTTCTATAGATATGTGTGTAATCAAGTGAGAGCTTGATACTGCTGCTGCACACAGGCCCATTTTGTACAATTTCCTATAATTTCAAATTGCAGTATGGGCTCTCCTCGAGTATTTCTTCCTGCTTTAAATTCTGCAGTAACTGTAACCTCATGTTCGTGGCCCAGTTTTGGGGAGGGTTGACTTGATCCAAGTGAAACCTTTCTTTAAATAATGTGTAAAGAACAAATAATATCTGTAAGACAACCTTGTACAAGAATTGTGCCCTCTGTCTTGTAAATGTACATGGCCAAGAATCATTCAGCCTTAAGTTAGTGGCTTTAACATACGTATATGCTAAAGGAAAACTTATTAATGCTCCCCAGAAGACATGGTGTTGACCTGCAGTGATCATCTTCATACCTTCATACCCCAAATAAAATAGAAGAATTTTTTAAGTTCTTAAATTAAAAATATAACCTGGAGCTATTTAAGAGGTAGAAGGGAGCCCCGTTTGGTTGGAAGTAAGCCTGTGCCAGTGAAAATCCATATATATGAAATCTCTAGAAAGTGGCCAAGAAAGCTTTACTCATCTTCTTCACAAACCTTTAGAACCAGCAAAACTTCCTTATAATTCCACTTCATCAGATGGCCTTACTCCACACCCCTCCTGGGTAATTGGCACAAAGAATTGCTGAGCTAATTTCAGAGAAGAATTTAGGCTCTATCTGCTATGGAAGAATTTTGCTGAAGACATTGTACAGAAATTGTCCCATGGAGTATTGAATTTGATTACAGGCAAGTGCAGAAACTCACTGTAAAAAAGAGTGCTGCTGGCAATTCAGTGACACAATTCCCACCTGCCTGCTGTGCAGTGGAAGCCCCTGAACTGGGGTTCCTGGCAGGAGCAGAGCACTGCAGGGTCACAGAGTCCTTTTGCCTCCCTACTGCCTGGGCCATGATAAGCTGTGGCTGCAGCTCCAGGGCTTGTGCTCTGCATGTGTGGATGAGCCATTTGCCTTTATCTCTGCCTGATTCCAGTAGATGGGACATTAAAAAGGACAATCCTGTAATTTACTAGCTAGATCTGCTAGACTGTGCTTGTGATCAGTGTTGGAAGGTGCAAGTCTGTGATGTGAAACAACAGCTTAGAGCCTACTGAAAGGAAAGCCTGTGGAAGTAATTAAATCAGTTTCATTGGAGGTCAAAAGCCGCAGCTCAACATAAGCCTTCTGAAAGCACTTGATTAAAGATGAGGAAGGGTACATCATACCTTACCATCTGTTTAGCCCTGCAAATGCCCAGGTGCCTGCCCTTTACCTGGGTTGTAAGGCAGCTGCTGAGCTGCTGCTGGAGAGTTACTCACCGCTTTCCACCAGGTCCCTGGGGAGTGGAGCCCACAGTTCTCACTGAATTCTAAGCAGCAGGAGTCCGGCACCCGGGTTGTGTTGTACACTTCAAACCAGTCAGTGTAGTTGGAGACACCACAGCATCTGAACTGGAAAAAGAAGAACCAAGATGATATTGTAAATATGATCTGGAGTTGGATGTTCAGTGTATTTTGATTGCACCAGCAGAGGCTTGAAATTTTATAAAGTATTTATTTCCTCAGCTTTACCCAAATAGACCCTTTCCCCCCCACTCTTTTATTATGTTCAAATATGGTCTTCCATATAGCTAACATTGATACAAGAAGCAAAGGTGCCTATTTGCAATGGCAGGACACTGCAGGAGCTGGAACGGGACAACCCCAGCCAAGTACTGAGGTTAAGAGTTGATGTGGCTGAGCGGGATTCTAATGATGGTTTGCAACTTGTTGTCAGCAAAAAAATTAAGATACAGATACAGCACTCAGGAGATGAAGATACTGGGATCTCTATAGCACACAGTTCTGAAATCATGATTGAAGTTAACAAAACAAATTCTTTAAACTGTTAATTACTGATCACCTTGGAAAGACTCAGTCAGTAGAAGACGCATTTCCTCCTCTTTTTGGTGCAGTTCCTTAATGCCACCATCTGATGCTACTAAATAGTGGTGCTTTAAGGGTCTCCTTTAAGTGTCTGCATATGATGACAGTGTGCAATGACTATCTTAGTGCTAAATCAGGTTTGTTTGACTTTGGTAGCGGGATGCAAGATCTGGGGAATGGCTCTGCAACCATCTTCCCCCTCAGGGAACTGGTATATTCCTGTGATACAAAATAAGCTAAGATTCGTTACCATATAGATGTATACACCATCTGTCACTCCTGTGCTAACTCCAAAGTACGAATTTGTGGGTATTCAGACGCTTTACCACAAATGAGTAAAAGAAGACAACACTGGGGTGCAGAACTGCTCTCTATACTTCACACTTTTTCAAGGCTATACTAGCCACCTACTTAGCCTCAGAATGACTTGCCAAGTCATTTTAAATGTGATTTTATATAAGCCTGTACAGTATTTTTTGCATTCCTATAGAGACTGTTCCTCTTGTTTCTGACAGACTTGTAATCATGCAGATGTCTGCATCGCTGGGACCAGGGACCTAATTCAGATCCGGATGTCTACACTGTCCCGAGGGAGATTTTTTCTACATATATGTATATAAATATGTATAAAATAGTTGCAGTCTCTGGGCACAGAGGGGCAGGTGTTTTGAGTGTTCGGACCAACAGAGGGCAGAGGTGTCACACGTTGCCACATGCATTATACGATGCTTCAAGCACTTGCAGAAAGAAGTCTGCGATAGAGACATTGCAGTGCTCACAGCACTCACTGGTTTTCTTCTGCCAAGCAAAAGTCAGAAATCTTTCCCGGGCCAACATCTGTCCCCCAAGATTCTGCTCAGAATTCTGATTTGCTCCATGGCAGGAATCAATCCTTAGCTTGCAACTGTTTGATTTGTGAGTTCACAGGCTTCATTTTCTGCAAACCAACTTAAAAGTAAAAATAGTTTGTGACTTTCTTTTCCCCTCTATGTTATTGCACAAAAGACAGGAGCTTCGTGCGTAACAGGTCCCAAAAGTGGATAGGAGCAGCATGGAACACATGGTATGTATTTGAGGAAGGCTGGTTTATCTGGAAATCTAACATGAAGGTCTTGCAGGCTGTCATCATTAGAGTCAGGAGGCAGCTCTTTGATAGACAGTGAGAAGTGACAACTTGTAAATAGCAAGCCTTGGAAATGTGGCTCATCTGTGATGCAAAGAGTGCAGCAGTAAGGACTGAGACATTTGAGTGATGTTCTGGCCAAAAACAAGTGACATGAGTTTGCATAAATCGGGACCAGATCCCTTCTCCCCGTAATATTGCTTGGCTGAGGGTGTCAAAGTCTGACAGACTAAGGAGATGAAGTACAGGTTTTGTAGTTAAGGGCTCACTGACAGGCTGAGGACAGCTGTTCCTATGAAGCCTGTGAAGCAGAAGGTGGCTAGACCATGATCTAGGGCTGGGACTCCAAAGAGGAAAACTTGCTGGTAAGCCAGAAGGTGGAAATAGGAGGGGATACAGCTGCAAAGGCAAGCTGCAGTTGGACACACATTGTCTGCTCTGTATATTGTACAAGAGCAGAGGATTAAATATTGATACTTGTCTGCTACTGCTGGCAGACAAGGCAGTCCCAGCACTGGGAAAAAGGGCTAAGAAAAAATCAAGGGTGAAAACCAGTGAAGTAACACGAAGATCAGTAGTCTTGGGACTGGAAGAAATAATGCCTAGAACTGTAACTGGGGGAAATGTCATGTATTTGGAAGACGAAGGATGAGCAATGGAATTAAGCAGCAGATCCTAAAAAAAAAGGAGGTGACAAATATTGAACAGTGTGTTCTAACACCACAGAGACCAGAGACGGCACATGTGAGGGGCAGTTCAATGAAGACCAAGTCCACTGGGGAGCAAGGCACTGACCCATGGCAGTAGGTCAGAGGCAAGAATAAGGAAACAAGCAGCAGTGGGTCTGAATGAGTCAGCAGTATAGATTCAGCAAAGGGGTCCACGTAGAAGCCAAAACCACAGATAAGCTCAGTAAAGTCAGAGACTTCATTATGGAGGCCCAAGCAGAGAAGAGAGGGTGGGAGTGACTTTGGATCATGTGACAGCTGACTGATCTATCTCTTGTGCATGAAGCTGAACAACACGTAGCCAAATTGTTGAGGGAGATGAGGGGCTATTAGAAGAAAAGGAAAATATTGAGGACAAACCAAAACAAAAGGATTTTTGAGAGTCCTCTTAGATTCGAGAGCAATGTTCTGTTTGAGAACAAGGTTTGGAGTAAGGATAGTTGGAGACAGTCCTGCACTTGGAGGATGGAGAAAGCTCAGCTCACATGAAGGATAATTTCTGTCACCAACACTTTGTTGTAGCCAGTTACTTCACATCCTTCCCCAAAGGTTGATGTTCTGCCAATCCCAGAAAGTTAAACTGCCTGACTTCAAGAAGCAACTGCAGACTTGATGCTTGCTACAGCCATATTCATTTTTGGTCACATTTACAGTCCTGTCTTGTTCCATGTGCTAGTTAAGTGATAAAATTAGATAAGATTGCCTAGCTATTCCCGTTCCTAGTTTCAACAGGGCACAATACACTTATGTTCTTATAGAAACAACTACAAACTAACAGTGCTTATTCTGGGGGACCCTGACCAATTTAAAAAGGAGCAATCAGTTGAAAAATGTCAGCTACTGCCTTGAATAGCTGTAACTTCAAGACACCTTGACTTGAATACCTGAGGTGTCTTGATCCTATGCTTGCTGCTGTGAAAGAGCACGTGTGATTAGGTGCAGTTGTGCCTGCCCATGTGATGTATGGCATAAGGTGACAATCAGGCAGTAATTCTGGGGACACTTGTAAAGTATTTGGCGGAGTTGCTCAGACAAGCAAAAGCTTGGCAAATGTCCCCAAGTATCTAAGCTCCTGCTGCTGAACATTTCCAGGAATACTGACAATATGCTGTTGTTTGTTTCACATGTTTCATGTGGGAGGCTCTGCCTCCCAAGATGGCAAACACATTTTTTCCCTCCTTTGTTAGAGAGAGATATGTGGCTTCCCTATTGGTTTCTGTGGTGTTCTGAAGCTGCTTGTTGGTTCCCAAGAACTCAGGACACGCAGGGGCTGCTCAACTCAACAATGGAGTCAAAGGTTGTGCTGCTGAGGAGAGCTTTTCCCAGCCAAGCAGCACCAAACAGCACTGAAGTCTCTGTGCTGTTTTTATGGAACACAGCGCTTCTTCTAAATAGCTTGATTTTTGTGTTAACAAGTAATTGCTGCTCTAGCATGGGTATCTAGGGCTGGTAATTAATGTTCAAGTCAAAGTTTCTATCTTGGTGCAATGGAAATGTTAAGGAGTTAGATTCTTCTCTGTATTTTACAGGCAACCCCAGTACTGAAGGCTAAGTAGGCCTTATTTTCATTGTCAAATTCCTTCAGAATCAGCCAGGCTGGAATAAGGTTCATGAAAATAAACAGACACCCAATCCTTGTTGCAGACAGGTTTTAGCAAGTCCTGGCTTTCCAGTTTTGTGAATGTGACAGAGAACTAGGGACAAGGGGAGGGTGCCTTTTATATTCCTTTTTCCTCCATCACTGTAAAAAGTGGTGAATAAAACAGTTTTATTCTAAAAGCATGTTTTTACTTGGTGGTTTGGATTACTTCAGTAGTAATCCTGAAGTATGGTTTGATCTAACAGAATCAATGACTGGGGTAGAGGACATGGGTCAAATTTTCTTCTCAGTTACCATGGTCTAAGTAGTCATGAAAGGCATTACACAGCAGTAAAAGTGAGCTGAATTTGCTCACTTTGGTGAAGCTAACGTGTTTTCTGCATGCCTCTTGAATTACTGCCTGGTTAGTTAAAATGAGAAGTGTTCAAATATTGATCACAAAGAGATGGGGCTGAAGCAACGTTTTAAATATTAATGCCTGTTTCTCATTTCCGAACGATCTTCACCTGTACCTTCCACCAGTCCTGACTGGTAGGGAGTGTGATACAGTTCAGAGTAACCTACATCCTAATCTATTGGAATTTTAGTCATGTTTAAAATCACTTTGCAAGCTTTCGTAGTCTTCAGTCACGATGCACAGTCACTTGCTTGTGTTTCTGATCCTTTTAAGGTTTGAAATGCTGTTGAGGAGAGAGGCTGTCAGTTTGGTTAGCTGAAGGTATTAAAAGAAATCAATAAAATGTTCTAATGTGAAGCAGCTCCCTAACCTAGAGACTTAATCCGACTGCAAAATGAGCTTGGTTCTTGCGTCTAACACGCATTGCATGTATGCAGCTGAAACCAACTCCTTTAGTAGTAACATGAACAGATCAGTCCTGCCCCAAACCTGCGACTTCCTCCCTAAGGACAGGCCTGATGGACCCTGTTTTTCCCTTGTAGGAATTGTATGCTTCTATTAAAAAGAGGAAAACAATTTCTCAGAGAAGAAAGCCCCCCCCAGAAGAGGTGCTCAGGCCTTTCACCTTTGAAGAAACACAATAATCACTACTGGAAAGTCACTGTGTGCACATTGGGTATCCATACTCCCAGTCAAAGCTCCTCTCTGCTTTGTGATCAACCAGTCCCACAGAAATCAAATGCCATCTAAATGTGGTTGTGTTTCTGGAAAAACTTCCCCCTCCTCCTCCTCTCCTCAAGAAAAAGTTGTAATACACAGTCACACAGGGTGGGTATGGTCTATATCTAAGCTAATAGTAGGAGAAATTAAGAACTATGCCATGGTGCCATCCTTCTGCTCAAACTCTGAGAAATACTTTTGCAAAGAGAGGAATGTGAATGTGGAGAAGTCAAGGGAAAAGCACTCATGATTTCTGTTACTGTCATGTTTTTTACATGTCATGCTTTTTTCCAAGGCTGTTGTTTTCCACCCATATATAGACACGGCCCATAGCTCAACCAGTGACTGATGTCTACTGGCTCATTAGAAAAGTCAGTGCTGAGACATTGTCCTGTATGGCAACGTGGTCAGCGCTAATGTGGGGGGTTTTGAGAGCTGTCTCTTAGAAGCCAGAATGCAATCAGCAAGCCTGGGCTGTGACTTGCCTTTCAGAAAGTCCTCTGCATTGCTCTAATCTTCCTATCAGTGATTGCACTCTACTGATTAGGAATGTAAGGGATAATGATCATTACTGAACACAACAAATAATACTTGTCATTTACATAGTGCTATTCAACTGCAAAGTGTTTTACATAATAAAGCATGCTGGGATTGCATTCACTGCGCCACTGCAAGAGTCTATTCCTAAATAGTTTTGAAAGATTCATGTGAAAACCAGTTATGCAGAGCAGTAAAAATGGATCTGTGGGAGCTCTTTGCTTTTCTCCTCAGTGCCCAGCACAGGGAGCAGGAGCACAGAGACTTTAACATTCTGGTACTGTCAAGACAGTGCTTGATAATTTTCGTGGTTGCCATGTTAGAAAAGAGAGTGGTGTAACATGACTGTACATGGCTTGCAAGATGGCGCTTTCCTATTATCTTTTGAGGTTCTAAGACCTAGCTAACATTACTTTCATCTGAAACTTATAAGACACTCTCTAAACTGTCATAAGCTTCAAGGACAAAGGAATCATTAAGACAACTGAGCCTGATCTGTGGCACTACAGAGAGAACAGACCATAGAGGGCTGTCTCTAACCCAGCTTGTCACTGAACAAGACCATATCTTTTAGACAAAAATACCAAAACAACCCTGTTTTAACTTCAGAGAAAAAGAATCCACCATCCTGCTGTACAATGGCATCCTACCAGCAGATGTCTGTATCCTGAGGTTTAGGCTGTTGGATCAATTACAGAGCTTTTTTCTTTCTAAATTCTTTCCCCTTCCTGCTCCTTTTTTAAGGACTGCAGTCACATCGCTACTCTTCATGGCTATAGAAAGCTTTTAAAATTTCTCACTACAATGAAAATTTCCCAAATTCTCATTATTCTTCTACATTTTTTTTTGGAATCCAGTCCAACTTGTAAACATCTTGAAAAAATGTGAACTACACGTACTACATATTGTTACCCCTATTTTACAGAAAGGGGAGCAGAAGTATGGGGGTTATATCCCATAAGTCCTCCAAATAGCATTCCCCCCCCACCTTTGCTATATGCTTTTAACAGTTCTTGCAGTATAACTGAAACTAGATTAATATTTACTGCAAACATTTTAATATTAGTAATTTTTACTACATTTTTACTAAGCAAAATTAAGTTAGTGTAACAGAGTAAAACTTCTAACACTGTTTGATATAAGCAATGTTATTAAAAATATATGTGTATTTCACATGGCTTACTCTTGGGCTAGCAACACAAAATGCACTTCTCTTGTCAGTAACTGATAACTTTGCATATTCGAACATAGTATTGGAAGAGAAATATTAACAATATTGCAAGATGCTTAGGGCTTTTAAAGGTAATGAGAAGGACCTTCCACATGCAGTTCTTAGGATTTAGGACTGGAAAACTTACTATCTTGTTTGCTGGACCTGAGCTGTTTGCCTTTCACACACAGTACTGTTGCTGTTAGCATCCTGCTCAATACAAGAGGAACCGCAGGTTCAGACCCCTGGTGTGTGTGCTTGGCTAAGGAGCCAGTGGCGTGAGGCTACCATCTGCGGGCTTATGACTGAACACCTCTAAGAATCCCACCTAGATGCTTGTTGTTGTGCTGTTGCATCACCGGTTGCTTGTGATTGACCCAGGAGATGACAGTCTTGTTCAGAATGCATGGGTAAAGGTCTTCCTGAATCTTCGTTAGAGAAGACAGGCCTTCCTCATAGGAGAAGGAAAACTCCTATCTTCAAACCCGGCTGATGGAGCTCATCTAGTCTTGTATGGTCTTCCATCAAAGAGAAGGACACTCTTACAAAACCTACGACCTGAGGACATTGCTGTCACTGTCCTAGCTAGCTGGGCCGTGGCAGTTAAACCTCAGGTGTAAAGGGTGGGTCCAGTTCTGCACAAGGTGCGCTTCACCTAAAAAATCCACTGCGCAGGCTGGAAGGGCTCACTTTCACTTGTCTGTATGGATGGGCGAGGGTCGAAACAGCAGGTGACAAGGTGTATGGGTAGCTGCAGATCCAACCTTGCATGTGGGGGGGCCAGCGCATGGGTAGCTCAAGATAGTTCAGGAGATGACAGTCCTGGTCGGACACTTCCTGATTGCCTAAGCACCCTTTTTTCCAACCAGATTTGCATATCCCACATGCCCTTGGTCATTGTGCTTGTAGTAAGCGTGGTTAAAGCCCTTCCCAAATCTTCGCTCGCCAAGCCAAGCCAACTACTCTCAATTCAGACAGCTCCCATGGCCTCAAAGATGCACAGAGGGAGTCTGGCCAACCAGTTCTTTTGTTCTGTTAGTGACCCCCAATTGTTAATTTCTCAGACCTGTCCTTAGCAGCCTACTGCTCCTGTTACCTTGTATCGTATAGAAGAATATATGTGAATCTTGACACTACCAGACTGAAAGATGTCCAGGATTTCAGCCCAAATGGCAATAGAGAAAGTAAAGGGTAAATTAGCAGGTTTATCAGAATGCGGTAGGTAGCCCATCCATCTTCTTGAATAGTCTGCATAGCTTTGGATGCACTTGAAGAACTCATTTTTGGCTGATTTAGGACATCAGAGGTAAGTCTAAAGCCCTTCCTGTCTGTACCACACTAGTACCTCTGGAGGAGCATCTGAGAAAGCTATACAAGATATTTTGAGTGATGCCAAGGCAGTATGAGTGCTTCTTCCTAAAGCAGAACTCAAAGTTGAAGCACTTTTCTTCATTCAAGAAGCAGAGGAAATCAAATCAGAAAGATCACCCTCGAGAACTGATTGAACTGAGTATGAAAAGGACAGAGCTAATAAACCTGAACTGTAAGTGATGGTGTTTCCTCAGCAAGCCAGACAAGGACAAGAGCAGGAAGCCAGCAACAGTGTTCACCAGCCCTTATGAGACAAACACTGGCAGAGTACTGTCAGAGGATCAGAAGGGTGCATCAGTGATTGTAACATAGCAAAAAGCATTCCATCTGTGATAGAAGATGATTGAATTCTGCTGGGAGAAACGTACTGACTGTAGGAGAATATTTTAAATGCCATGGCTGGTTTCCATTTTGACTACATAGTAGAAACCAACAATTGCCATGAAAGGAGGCAGGACAGAAATGAAAACTTGTTGAAATGGTTCTTTGTTACTACACTCTTCATTCCAACATAAGTTGTCGCTTTGACTTTAAAGAGAAGGTACTGCTTGTTTCCTGTCTGGCCATCCTCTCCACCATCCATACAGCACAGAACTATATGGTATTTAGGCTTCAACACAATCACATTTTTTAAAAGAAATAAGCTACCATGGCCAAAGGAAAAATAAATAAAAATTACCATTTGTTACAAAGAGCAGAGTTTAGTTGCTCATGTCCCACCTGGTTAGGAGGAAGAGATTGGCTTGGGGTCTGGAGGTTCGATCAGGTTCACATCCAGAATATGCTGTTACAGAACAGAGGGTAAAGAAGAAGAGAGAGAAAAAAAAAAAACAAAACCAAAAAGCTCACTTACATCTGTTTGAATGATGCTCCATGCATTAGTTAGGCCAATATTTCCATCTGTCCCATACAAATGAAGCCCTTTCTTCAGATCCCGCTGAGCATACTTGTCAATCTACAACCAACAACAAAAGACACAAAACTCAAAATTTGCCAAGTACCACATTTCAGAATCAAAGTGTGCAGAGCGGGGAGATATTGGACAACATTCCTACACTGAAGTGAATCGAAGTTAACTGACACTTCCTAAAGCTTTTCTCCAGTAGAGCTGGTATCCGTTGCAGGTTATGTGCATTTTGTAAAGAAAATGAAGAGTTCTTGTTCTGAGTTAATGTTAATGTTTTCCATTACAGACCTCCAGAACATCTTTTCCCTTCTCATTTGACCACCAAGGTACTACAGAGAGACTGGATTGTGCTTAATCACAGTTGGTTGTTTTTTTTTTTGCAAATGAGGCCTATGAAGAAGATATTCACCTACCCACAGATTTCCTTTTAGCTTAATATCTTTAACTTTGACCAGGTACATCTCAGCATCTTCCATATGCTTCCTGGGAGATCAGCATTAACATTGTACTGATGCTCAGAATTGTGTTCATTATATCAGTCAGGGTACCCCAGTTTTTACAGCAGGATGGACAGAGTTATATTACAGCATCAGGCAATGAGATAGCCAACATTCAGGACAAACAGGATTGTTTATATCTCTCTTAATTGAGCTGCTCTTAAATAAATTCTTTTTTGTTGATTTAATGAAAGTACAAAGTTCTCTTTAGAGGCTTCTGCAATTGGAGATGGTTGAAGATGGCTTTCTTGTTGAGTCTCTGCTAGTAAAGTGGTCTATTGTTGGATCCACTGGTCACCACCAGGTAGTATCCAACATGATTGCAAGTGTCTGTCTTTCAGTCTAACCATACACACACATTTCTACAGAATCAAGCCAATACAAAAAAGGAAGTAAATAATAAATGTATATTCATGGTTTAACCTGATTTTTCTGTTGCAAATGAAAAGCACTGAATAGTGCTGCTCAAATACACCCTATGTCCCATCCCCCCCGCCCAGGTGCTTCATCATCCATTTGACATCAAAGGTATGTCAAGAAGGGTGAGCAGACCTGTCCCATTTTCTTTTCCATCAATCTGCTAGAAATCTGACTGCAAAATACAGTGCCACTCTGAGATATTTCTGCTGTAACAGTCAAAAAACCACCCAAATTAAATTCACAACTTGCTTCATGGGGACAAGCTAAGTTAAAATGTATTGTCTTTCATACTGGAAAATAGACAGACATGGCAAATTCTTTAGTGATTGCCCCTCTGACACCAGTTGTGCCAGCTAAGGGGGAGATCTAAAATGAAGTAACCAATACTAATTCTGAGTTAACATAAGTATTCTGCTTCTACCCCACACTTGGATTTTCCCGCTGCTTTGTTGAGTCAAAATTGGGTTTTATTTGCTCCTGGAAAAAAAAGTGGGTGCAAAGCATCTTCCACAGTATGAAAGTGGAATTTTCAACCCACTACATCACAGTTATTATGGGGTAGATGTAACGTTACTCAACAATATGATTCCAGAAAAAAACATGACCTCAGAAGTTCATCATGTCCAAGAATTTTCTGCTGTACATGCAGAAGGTTGTGCTTGGTCTTTCCAGTGTGTTTCCTTCACAGAAGTTAACCACCATCAAGCTGATCCACTAATAACTTTGAGACAGTACCAGAAAGATGTACAACTTAATCTCAGCACCTTAACTATCATGCAAGCACTTTATTGTGGATGACTATCTTGAACAGTAGGCGCTGTGCTCCCACTGTAATTAACATGTAAGTGGCTTTTGACTTTACACAGAGATTATACATAGTCACTGGTACATTAATTAGAAGAGAAAACCAAAGCTGAAAAGCTATCATTAACTGTTAAATTAGTTGTGAAAATTACAGGCAATAATGATAAATTTGTATGTGTATGGGATTCTTGGCATTCATTTAAGAATTAGAATGAACTGGGGTTTGGTTTGTCATTTTCCTTCAGCTCCCTTTGTCTCAGCTAGACCTACTGTGGTCTGGAGCAGAGCCATCAATTAGGATGGAAAGGCACAGTTGTGTTGCTAGTCTGAGAGAGGCTTTGAAATATAGTGTCCTACAGAGGTAGTGAGGTAAATTAATGGTTGAAAAACTAATTCTTACTTGGAAAGGGACATTGAAGAGAAACAGCCTAGCTGAGGACAGGTGGGGACAGAAATCTATCAGGCAGATTTGTTGCCTTGAAGACAAAAGAGAAAAGCTTATTTAGAATATTAATTTATCACACTTGAGAAGATCTGCCAAGTGAGAGAATTATGCATCAGCCTACAGTTCACATCACCACTAATCTGGAACAAGGGAGAAGGTCAAATGAAAGAGTGATGCTTATCTGAGAGGCAAATGCCATGCTACCAAAAGGATGCAAAAAGCAAAGTTTGCATTTCCTCACTCAAATTTTGCTTTGCAAACCACTGCAGTGGCTCAGCGTGATAACCCCCTTTACCAAGGCTCACAAGCTGCCCTTATAAATGAAATTTTCACAGCCTGTTTGAGAGTAACAACAACAATAATACATTCAATAACTTGCAATCAACATTTATAAAGTACTTCAAGATCTGGAGCAGTTTTGTTAGTCCATGTGTGCTTTAACATGGTCCCAAGAGACTGTCTCACCGAGCATTCCTGCTCTTCTTTTTACGCGGACACACTACCAAGCAACTTGCTGAGGCAAAATTGAAAGTAAGTCCTTTCTTCCTCATGAGTGCAAGACCTTTATACTGGGAACACAACTGGTAACAGATTTCCATATTTCAGAAACTCAAGAAAACAGGCAATATGCACCCAGTTCTTTCACTGCTGTTTCAAAAAGCTTCAACATCAAGCCCCTCAACATCAAGCCATGCACACTGTATGAACCATTTTTATTTGTTGTTTTAAAAAGTAAAGTGCCTGTTTGAATCATGCTTGGAAGAGCATATAAGCTTTTTAGAATCCCACACCATGTGTGTGTCTCATTTCCTTCTCTCTCTCATCTCTACACAGGCTGTAACCTTGAAAGAGGCATACACTTGCTGTGAAACTCTCTCCAGATTTCTTTTTTGTTTCATGTTCACTGACATAGGAAGGTATCTGGAAATCTCACACAGTTTTATTCATACACACACACAGAGCTTTATATTTATTTGAGTGATTGTAAATGTAGGATTTTACATAATTCTCCTTTACTAAAGTTTCTAACTGATCTTCTAACCAGGTGTGCTGTAAATGCACCAAAGAGTGCTATTCTCTGAAGAGAAGCTGATTTAAAACCTCTTTTTCACAGAGCTGCTCCTTAAAGCATTCACACTGCTGTTTGCTTACTCTAGGAACAGGAAGATCTTCATCACCACCTAGAAATAACCTTGTACAGCACAGCTGAGTCTGCAGCCCTTTGTCACCAGAAGAAAGGGGAAGCAGCATCAGTCTTCGGTCTCCTGTCACTTGTGTCTGCAGCTGTGGTACCAGCATGAAGTCCCCTTCTGTCTGTCTTCCCTGTTTTTAGTCAATTACGTAAGGCCTTTTTTACTGATGTGTTATCTTGCATGAATTAATCAGTCTTGTTGCAGAAGTAGCCTTAGACTTCTAAGAACACAGATGATATTAAGCAAGACCTCATCTCTCATTCATGCTGCGGGAAGTTGTCTACAAACAATTCCATTAAACGCACATTGACCTGTACTTCAAATAACCTGTGTACAAGGTTATAAGATGGATATTTTCTCCCTAATTGAAGCACTGTTGGAAGCTGTAGACATATGCTTCCTACTGGCTTTGACCAGAGAAGGGTAAGTAAGGTGCATGTGGAGCATAGCTAGCAAATGCTCCTCCAGTTCATTCCGTTTCCTCCTAAATTCAATTTTGTTTCTTCCTCAAAATGTTTTCAGAAACTTTTCAATATGCCTTTATTCTAATTGCATATTTGATTTAAATGAAAACTCAAAAAAAAACCCCCAGCTGGCTCTTCTGCCTTTTGAGTTTTTCAGAAAATGATCTTCCTGAAAATGAAATGCTGCACCACAGTGATTCATCAAAGCTCTTGATAAATGATCCCACCCAGCATTCACCCATCTGTCAGCTCCTCTTGTTTGTCTCTGTGCTACAAGTCCTTAGCCAGGCAAAGTGTCTATCGCAAAACAGACTGTAAGTACCACTATCCTGGTTTTGGCTGGGATGTAGTTAATTTTCTTCCTAGTAACTGGCACAGTGCTGTATTTTGGCTGATAACACACCAATGTTTTTAGTTGTTGCTAAGTAGTGCCTACCCTGATCAAGGACTTTTCAGTCTCTCAGGCTGTGACAGTGAGGAGGGGTACAAAAAGCCCTAAGGGAGCAGAGACAGGACAGCTGACCCACACTGGCCGAACTAGCCCACACTAGCACGTCATGCCCAGTATATAAACTGGGGAGTTGCCCATAAGCCACAGATCACTGCTTGGGTCAGGCTGGGCATTGGTCAGCAGATGGTAAGAAATTGTATCGTGCATAATTTTGTTTTTTTTTCCTTGGGTTTTATTCCTCTCTCTCTTCATTATAATTAAAATAATAATAATTATTATTAATAATAATAACTACTGTTACTATTATTTTATCTCAATTATTAAACTGTTTTTATCTCAATCCATGAGTTTTACCTATTTTTCTGATTCTCCTCCCTATCCCACCAGGGGTGCAGGCAGTGAGCAAGCAACTCTGTGGTACTTATTCACCAGCTGGGGTTAAACCACAGCAACTACATTAAATATTCTGTAATTTGAATTTGCTGTGTTCACCCATACACAAGCCAGGCCTTTCACAAAGCACAACTCTATCTAGTGAAGGAGCACAATGAAGCATAATAAAAACTCTCAGTAGGCAAACCATTATTCTAAATGAGATGCCTATTTTAAGTCATGTCGAATACCAGAGATTTCCTTAGAAGAAAGAGTTTCTGAAAGGTTAGGCAATTAAGAACCTTTTATCAATCTGAAAGTGAAGCAGAGGAAAATTCCTTTCCTCCTTGGGATTCATTAGTCAACAGATGAGAGAAGTGCAAGCTTCAAGCTGGCACCTAA